CTCGAACGCTCGCGAGACGATCAGACCGCGAAGCATCCCCCGCCGGGCCGTCCTGCTCCCTTGCCTGCCTTTCGCTCCTTGGCTCTCTCAACTGGTTGGCAAGTGGAGGAAGTGGCTGTCTGATCTCGGACGGAATGACAATAAGACTCCCCTTTGATTAATCGACGAAGCGGAGAAAGGAGAATTAGTTCTCTCGCCGCGCTCGAGACGACGAATTGTTTTGCAAGTGTTAAGCAAGTTCCGGCTGCTTATAGAACGGACTGCATATATATATATATATATTTGTCGCGTGCACATATACATAAATATAACGATTTGAATCGAGAATCGACGCGTGAAGTAGCGTCGCGCATCCAAGTGTCGTTCTTCCGCCGCGCGGAAAAGTGGACAGGATTATTCAAACGCACTATTCACCATTATCGACGTCGTCGATAATAAAGGGATATTGCAGTGTCGACCTGTGGATCCTTCGAGGACATTTCCGACGCGCAAAAATAAGTCGAGTGCGACGAGCGCGGCGATTAATCACGTGATTAACGGCTGTCGATTGTCCCTGCGACTTAAAGGATAAAGTTGCCCGGTTAATCTCTTCGTTGCATCCGGCCATCGAAAACTTTCCAGACGCAGAGTAGCGCGGGGGACAGGCGTGCGACAATAACACGAACGAATTCGGGAGAAGAGACGGGATAAGTAGAGTGGATCGAAATTAGAATCGTGTGCAGCGAGCGGAAGAGGGTCGTTTGATCAGACGGACCGGCCGGCCCTACCTCGCGCTGCACTACTGAAAAGAACTCATTTGCGTAAAACGATCTTTCGCTATACACATTCATCCACGTAAAATCGCGCGCGAGCGTGTGTGTGTGTGTGTGTGTGTGTGTGTGTGTGTGCGTGTGTCGCAGTCGCGGAAGACAGCGTTCCGGCGAAATACACATCTCTGTCCGCGTGAAACGACAATAACGTCGATGCTATTAACGATATTGAAAATAATTTGTAATAATCGATCATATTGGGCGCGCGGGCGGGATATCGACGGGAATTTCACTGCCGATGTTTTCGAATGTCCATCTTTATTTCAGCCGCGACACACGTCCATTTGAAGCGTAACACTGAATAATCTGCACCCCCATGCATCTTCCCGGACGAGCGACGAATGCCGAATTGTAATCGACAACGATAACCGAACGATAACAAATCACAGCGGAGGCAACGAGAAATATTGCGTGATCGGGAGAGTGACGGGAACTGCGACAACTATTAGAGGAAACGAATTGATAGATGTAAGAGGATAATGTAAAATGATAACGTAACAACGACCCATCGAATGCAACAACGTGACTGAGGACAATAACGCTCAAAGAGAATAATCGCAGACAACCACGTGAAAACGACTGAACCATCGCTGTTCAATTTGATACCGTGACATAATCGAAAGCGTGACATATTTTCGTCACGGCTCGATCGAAGCAGGACAATTACGGTGACAATAATAAGCGCGATAACACTTCGCGAAAGTATTAAATTAGCGCAAAAGGTTTGTCCGTATTTTTATTACTGTCAAAATATCATTAGTTCTTATACTCTTCAATATTTTTACTAATTTTCAATTTTAATTATAAAAGCGCGCTTATCATGCAAATTTAGGAGAATTTGCAAATTTAAATCTTGATTACTGAATGAAATGTAAATGTAACGAAAACAGGGTTTTCATATTGCATATTTTATTGCCTAACGATGTTTTCTTAATTGCTTATTTATCGATGTATGCTAATAACGTAATAGTTAAAAAAAATGAAATTAATAGAATCTAATTAATTTGAAAAGTGGTTGAAATAGTAAAAATGGTCTAAAAGGCGTAGAATACATTTTAAGAATTGGAAAGAATGAGAGAACCGACGATCCCTTTGCACTGATTTAGCAGTGATACAGTGCGGCAAAACGCGGATTACGAGCGCAGTGGAAGAAGTGAACATTTGTCAGCCAGATACTTGAACGTGCTTCGGCAGTTCGGCAGTTCGATCCGAAAGGATCCGCGCCCCGAGTCGGGCGGGGAGTGAGCGCGCGCGTGTTTATTCCGCACGCAGCGAGTCGAGGGACGAGGAGCCGAAAAGTGGTAGGCCATCTCGGCGTGGAATGACAATAAGGGGGCGCCGTACCCGCGGGGTGGTATTATGCAGAGGACGACGGATTTGAGCGTGCCGCCCAAGTGCCCGGCGAAGGTGTCGCATCCCTTTCGTGGGATGGCACTCGGGACACTGGCCGAGATTGCCGTGAGACTCGTGATTAGCGGCTACATATTCGCCGTGATTGTCTACGTGAACGCCAGCGGCAACTGGGATAAGGACGATGACCTAGGTACGTCCGCGAATCGTAGCACGCTCCAGCGCGAACGATCGCGCGAACAATCGGTGGATAAACCACCGACTCGCCGATTCACGCGAATATACGCTGTATATCGGGCATGTTTCGTCTGTTATTCTTTAAATTGCGTTAACCGCTTTCGTAGAACAATTTTTTTTCCGATTCCTCCCCGAGCCCGGCAAACCCGTTAATTTTAATTTGCAACTTTCAGTATTTCATATTTTTGTCACTCGAGCAAACTGCGGAATTCTATAAAGTCCGCTCGTAAAGTTAACTAATAAATATACTTATTTACTTACTAACGAAACAATATTTACTAGTTAACTTCAGACGGGGGACTTTACAGAATTTCAATTCTGAAATAGAAGATACCTAAAGTTTAGCTTGCGAAAAGTTCTCCAATCGCTAATTGCTCAAAAACTATCGGTGACTCGACATTCTCGTTGAGGAAACATCAACGCCAAATTAGCCAAATAATGCATAGTTTCGAAACTTATTCGGTTAATTTTAAAACACGTTACGCTTTCGAATGTTCTATTTTTTCCGAAATGTGAAAATACAATGGAAAACATGTTACATTCAATAAAAATAAATTTGCATATTTTTCCATTGAAACGCATGTTATTTTAAATGTCATTATTAAAACAAAAGAAAACGAAGAAAATTAAATGATAAAAACTCGAGGATTTTATAATCACTTTCCTGCGAGAAAATAAGAAAATGGTTAAGTAAACTAAGCTTAACGATTTTTGTCGCTTTTTTTTTTTTAATTGTAATTATAGTACAATATTAACAAAAATGAAAAATTTACTTAAGCAAAGCTGTGACAAATTTATCCTTAATTCTGACGGTGGCTTCGTTTGCCGCGCACATTCAGCGTTTCCGCGTGCAAAACATAACTCTATATGGCTTTTGTACGCAAAATGGAACCCAATATGTATTTCATAAATGCATATTGAAAAGTGGAAAACTGACACAGTCATGAAATTGAAAACTGTTAGAATCGATATTTACAAAGTGACGGCACTTTTAAAATGAAAGTAGGCCAGAATGGAACAGCCGGATTGAATAGATTCTTAAAACATCGTAAAATAATAAATAAGTTCTTGTTAATGCACGCGCGGACTTGATTAAAAGTACGAGGAGCTTTTACAAGTTTTGAATTTATAATCCACCGCTTACAGCTATTTAAAAATTTCTAGTTGCAACTTTCAATTTTCGCTCGTAATTATTCAAGCGTCTATTTATGTCTGCTACTTTTATTCAAAGTTATTTCCATTTACATTCCATGCGTTGTCAGTTCCCATTTATATCTTTTGAAATAGCTTCAGTATAAAAAACGACACGCGTTTAAATAGATCGAACAGATAATAATCGCGTTGATACGATGCTAAAAAAGATAAATGGTTCGTAGCATGTACATTTTTCATCGGAGCGTCACAAACAAACGTAAAAACGATATCCTGCCGGAAGAGTTCTCGTATTCGTGTTACAGACGTCGGTTCGATTGATGAAAATTGCGGCGTATCGGAAAAATGGGAAAATCAGACGCAGCTTGCTGCGATACCGGAAATCGCTTAGAGCGTGAAACTTGCTCAAAGAAATGTTATGCGGCGTAATTATATTTCGTGCTGCCGGGCGGAAATTCTCCATTATGCGCGAAAACGAACTTCATTAGTGATATTTTTCAAGCTGCTTTCCTCGTCGCTTTATTCGTAAGAAGCAAAGCAGCTTTCTTTTTATATCGCGAGACAAGACTCCTCCGCGCGTTAAAATGGAATGTTAAATTGGAAGGAAACGTCTCTTAAAATATCCTACATATTCCTGATGCGACTTTATTTCGCGGAATGATATTACTCGCCTCTGAAGTTCAGAATTCGCGTCGGTGTTACTTTAGCGTAATTTAAAATCACGCCAAACAATTTAAGGAAAAAATTTAATCCCAACTTTTTCACTGCTAAATCTCGTTTACTTGAATGACTTGTGAGTAATTTCACCTATAATACTTTCTACTAACTTGATAACTTCCTGCGCTCTTTTGTAGCACAAAAGCTAACGTTACAGCTCATTTAACTTATTAACCGTAGAATTAACAATTCAGAATATGTCACTATTAAATATAATAGCCTTATATAATGTATCAAGTATATCTAATGACACCGTAATTTTTCAAATTAAGCGACATAGTGTCTGTTAAAATCATTGACTTGATAATTATTAAGTAACGCTAGTGTTTGTGTCTCAAGAAAACAGAACGAGTACTGTAGGTAAAATTATTCAAAGCATTCAAGTTAATGAGATTTCCCAACAAAAGAAGTGAAATTTCCATTGTTCACACAACAAGTTCTAAAGAAGTCGTAAAAAATCAGAAAAATTGTTTTTCTTGTTTTAAACGTTGAAGGAATAAGTATAATTTTTAGAAAACGTTACTTACGGCACGTGAAAAAGCAATTTAACCATTAATTATCGCGCAAATTTTCCGCAAAAACGTCTTTGCTTTTTTCATTCGCGTTCAATGTCATTTTGGTTGCAGAAACTCCGTTGAATATACGCGTTAATTAATAAAGACGCTCGAGTATCGTAGAATCGTTTATCGGCGACCGCCGTAGCATTCGATGGGGATTAATTACCTCTCTTCAACTTCTCCAGTGTCCACGTCTAAAGTCAGCGCCGTACTTGGCCGTACCGCCACTTTGCCTTGCGATATTGAGCCGTCCACGCGAGAAGATCGCGTCTACATGGTACTTTGGTTCCGTGATTACGCGGTGAAGCCCATTTACAGGTAAGCAACTTTACAACACCAGCCGCGAAAAGAAAGCTGAAAAATCGCGCGAGAAGAATTCTCAGGAATGAATTTTCCAATTATTTATAGGGAAAAAATTTCGAAATATTTAAAACATCTTTTATATTTACTGAAATATTGAAGTATAATGTAAAAATATAGACGAGTGTAGGAATTATATGTGACGGTGTAAAATTCAGTTTCGACGTGCGAGGACGAGCCTTCAACAAGGCCCTAAACTGGTCGGACAGCACCGCCGTAGGGCCCAGGGCCTATTTCGTCACCGTGACGAAGCCCGCCGCTCTTTCCTTGGAGGCGGTTCAGCTGGATGACGAAGGGATTTACAGATGCCGCGTAGACTTCAAGAACTCCCCGACCAAGAACTTCCAAGTGAATCTCACGGTGATCGGTGAGGAAACTCATTACCGTAACGACCGCGTAACATTGCTCCCGGTATGATTAACTGCGCTCCCGTAACGTAAAACGCTCGAGGATCGTCTAGCCGGGGGAAAAAGGAGAACAGGCGGAATTAGCTGCAGTTAGCGTTCGCCGATATGGCGAGGGGGCGTCCCTTTTTTTTTTCATCGCGATGCAAAGTTAAACTCGCCGGAACAATCTCGTCCCGTCTCTCGCGGTTTCGCTAATTGAAGGGCCCGGCGGTCTAACCCACTTTCCTCAGAACTTACGACGGGGGAATTAATCGAAATTTCATTTTTGCAAGTTTAAAATTAACTTTCGCGAGTTTCTTAAAAAGACTGGACCGAGACCACTCGAGCTATTATCCGTCAATTATGGAAAGCGAACTTCTCTGTTCGCCGGTATTGTTCGCAGTGCCGCCGCACCAGCTACTCATTTATGACAGCTCCGGGGTACAGGTGGAAAGCGTCGCCGGACCATTTCAAGTCGGCGTGGAGTTCGGGCTGTCCTGCGAGGTGAGAGGAGGTAAGTCTCTACACTCCGTGCTCGTCACTTTGACTAATTATCAGGTAAACTTGCGAATAGAGGGGCAAATGGAGGGGCTTTTAACGCTACTTTTAACGCCACTTGTGTGTGTGCCTTGAATTTCTCTCCATAATTACTTGCAAACCCCCATTGTGTTTCTCCACTCATACGCGAAATTCTTGCGTAAATTAGCGCTACCAGGCAGTTGATTAATTCGGCGCGCGTAAATTGTGTCATCGGAAAGCAATCGTTTCTTTTTAATCCCTCCTCATCAATTAATCGTTAAAATTACAATTGTACACCAATTAATTCCTCTTAACAATTTTCGGTCAACGGTAATGACGGCAGATGAAATACCGTGCTTCGGGCTGAAATTGATTTCTCGCGACATGTTAATCAGACGTAATTCTCGCGTTCCCATTATAAACTTTATCCGTTAATCCTTCCTTGCGCGAAATCAGGTTTCCCATTAATATGTTTAGTCGGATACGAATCTCAGCGAGAGAGTGACAAATTGCTCAGCGTGCCCGGTCACACGCGCAATTCCCCCCCTCGCACGACTGCTCACGCGTCGCGTGAACAAATAAAAAGCGAGAGAGAGAGAGAAAGACGGCTCACAGGCTATCGTTCGCAATTAAATATGAGCCTGGCCTAAGTGGCCGGGTATTACGCGGCCGCACCCGATCGGAGACACCCGGTATTAAGGGTAATTATGGCCCCGGTGATTTGTCTGCTGTCACGCGAGGCGAGCTGATCGACGACGGGATCCCGGGGGGGGAGTTAATTAGCCGCGTATAATTTCCGTGCTTTCCATGCTTTCGCGCGCGAACGCACAAAAAGGGAAACCCACGCCGGAGGTGAACTGGCTGGTGAACGGCAAGGAGGTGGACGGTCGAGTCGAGGAGTTCGACCAGAGCATCGTCGTCAGCAAGTTGACGGTGCCGCAACTGCGACGGGAGCATCGCAACACCACGTACAAATGCCGGGCGTCCAATACGCATCTCATACCGCCGCTGGAGAAGACGGTGCTCCTCGACGTTTACCGTGAGTTACCGCTTTTTATCCGTAAAGGATTTACCTTCTTTATTTATTTTTGGAGAAATAAGTCTGTTTATTCTTAGAATCAAATAAACAATTCCCTTTGAAGGATTTATTCCCTTTGATTTTATCTCTAGTCGAAGAACATTTCTAAAGACACTTTAAAAATGACTTTAATTTTGCTAAAGCCTTCGACGGCACAGATCTCTCTTCTTCACGTCTTATCTGATGTGTGTGTGACGGGTTATAAAAATACGTAGAAATTTATATACACTTTATTTATCAGAATTAATTTATATTTATGAAGATTTTCCTTCACCTCTGGTAGTTCGCAGTATGCGAAAGCAAAATATATTTTTACGCTACCAATCGAGTGAAAATTATAAAAGACCGGGAGAGCACCGAAGGGTAATGCGCGTTAGGGTCACCCCGTTTTGATCCACAAAGCGCAGCCAACTGCATTTTAGAAAGTTACGTGCATCGCCAGTGGAGACCCCAATTAAACGAGGTAACGAGTATATTTGACAAAAATGGCAGTTATTTACCGCAATATTGGTCATACAGCCTCTAATTACGCTTTTGCAAAGTTAATCAAAATCCCCGTGGCATTCAATCTGTTAATAATTCACATTAGTTGAATTTCAACCGCGGAAAGTAGTCGTTTTCGCGTTTACGTTATCGATTCGATAAATTATTGGCAGACTTTGTTGAAAGTAGAAGCGCCGATCCCCCCCGGTACACGAATTAATCGCGACGTGTGCAACTGAAAATAAATTTAACTTTTTTCAATTATTCAGCTTGGATAAAGCTTTGAACAGGGAAAGTATTCCTCTTCTTCAAATATTTTTGCAAATAGCCATTAAAAACGAGATTTATTATCTTTGAGTTAAACGGACAGATGTGCTAATCGCCTGAAATATAAGGCTTGATCAACACTTACCTATACTCTGCCTATACAGAAATTTTATAAAAATAATTACAAAATTATACAAGTTTATAATTGCGGAAAGTCGGAAAAAATTTGCGTTTTAAGTGAAACAGTTTTAAATTTCACAATTTTCAACATGCCGGATTAATCTACAGAATTTTTGCGAAAAATAAAAAAAAAACTTGCATAACCCGTGATATAACCGGTTTGTTTCCAGTGAAACCGCTTACCGTGAAGATACTGTCGAAACTAACGGTCATGGAGACGGAGAAGGACTACTCCATCACCTGCGAGACGACAGGCTCGCATCCGCGCGCTCGCGTCACTTGGATCGAGGGAAACGAGACGTTTCGCAACGGCAAGGTCGATAATGATACTCTGAAATATGACACGCGCGACCCCTGTACATGACACTTTCTTGACATTCGGCTTGAATTATTCCGTTTTCCCAATTTTTCACGTGTGCCAGCAGGTCATGGAGAGCGGCAACGCGTCGGTGGTTTTGAGCACGCTGATATTCTCACCCGTCCCCGACGATCACGGAAAGATCTTGAAGTGCCGTGGCGAGAATCCAGCTCTGCCCGACGCGTACTTGGAAGATTTCTTCAAGTTGAATGTCGTCTGTAAGTGGCAAGCCGCAACTTTAATCTCTTCTCACTAATAGTACCTTTTTTCATTAATTAGTTTTCTTAATATTGCGATACATCATTGATCACTTTTACATCATACATCATTAGTTTCGCAAAGATGTTTAAGTCTAAATACGGAAATTCTCTTTGATTATCAACTTTACCTAATTGTACATATTTGTTCATCTAATTGACAGTCCGCAATGCAGAACAAGCTAAAACGCGTAAAGACTGAGTGACTTTGATATTAGACTACTGCTATTTACGTGTGAAGAAACTTTGCTGTTTTTGCCTTGGGCTAAAATCAAGATTTCATTTATTACAAATAGTCGCATGCCTTATTTATATGTTTCTGTCTTTTCGCGTATTCCATTTCCGGCGACTTTAATATTTCGCGTCCACTTCTTCGGAACTGCTGAAATATTTCATTGTCGTCGCGTATCGTGAAATAATAAAGCGCCGAAAAATCCTTTCCAGTTCCGCCTAAGGTACAGCTGCATCTGGGCAGCACTTTGAACGCGGAGAACATAAAGGAGGGCGACGACGTGTACTTCGAATGCAAAGTCCGTGCCAATCCGGAGCATCATAAAATCACCTGGCGCCACAATGTAAGTCTCAGCATCAGCAACAATCCTATTCTCATCACAGAGATTCATCTTTGAAAAAGTTAGCATTCTAACTCTTTTTAAAAGAGTTTCCGATACTAGAAATTTTCAAAAAAATTCTCTGATAATTAAATGTGAAAAATAAAAATGCGAAAATAATAAGCGTCAAGTTGAAATTTTTCTTATAATATAAATGGGCAGTAATTTTTTTATTTTACTAAAATCTTAATAAAGTTTAGAATTTTGAGAAAAATTTTGCTGGATTTTTGAAGAAAAGTCCTTGTCTCACGGAAATTTGTAAAATCTCTATTGCCATCGGAAAGTTTCACATAAAATCAATTTGCTGCCTTGTTCTCTCATCACGGAAGAAATATGGCATAAAAAGCTATCACTCTGAAATCTCAACCCCCGTGTTAAACCGTTAATCCATCAATGACAGGGCGTCGTGCTGACGCAAAACCAATCGGCCGGCATCATCATGAGCACCCAGAGTCTGGTGCTACAAAGCATAGGTCGCGACAATGCGGGAAATTACACGTGTCTCGCCAGCAACGATCGCGGAGAAACGACGAGTCCGATAGTGAACCTGAGAGTACAGTGTAAGTAAATACAATACGCTCGATTCGATAACAAGAACTACTGAAGGCGAACGTGTGATTTCGACGAGTAGACGTCGGCAATTCGAGGATTAAACGGATTTCGAGTTAAAGTCTCGTTATCTGAGAACAAGAGTTATACAAAAAGAAAAGCAGTAAAACAAGACGTGCAAGACAATATTTTTATATCATTGCTTACTACATATTTATTCTGAATTGATTAATATTTGCACGTGGGTATTTATGCTATAAATATTTACGTAAATAAATAAATATTTTCCATATACATATAAATATATAAAAAATAAATATTGTTACGCCGTACACGCGTCAACAATAAAATCTGTATGAAAGTAATTTATCACGTTATACCTCATCAGTTTCTGAAAAGATGTATTATTGTGTTATTATAGGGGTATTAACCCTTTTAACCTTTCCATTGGTAAAAGTTCCGTTTAACATTGTTTGGTAGCCGTTTCCTGCAGTAAACTCCAAAATACGCGTTACACAATATGCCAACTGCGCGTAATTGTGCTCGGGAGCGAAATATCTCGGACGTCAGATATGAAGGATTACATTTTAGAAGCCAATTTATTTTCAACCCTCCTATCCAACCCCTACGGCGAACAACATAATTCTCCCGATTAAGGGCGAATAAAACGACGTTTAAGCTCGGAGTAATTCCGCTCTGTCCAAGTTTCGCCGATCGATAGCGAAAACAAAATTATTTCGTCTTCGAAAACTCGCGTCGTTTATTCAGCTAAAAGGAAAAAAAAAAACTGAAAAGCACGTAAAACTATTCTGTTTCATTATTTTTTTTCTCGTTGACGCGTGACGACAGTCGCGCCAGTTTGCAAGATGAAGGAAGTGACGATCATCGGAGCGTCTCTGGAGGAATCCGTAAAGGTGCGCTGCGAAGTCGACGCCGATCCCAGCGAGGTGGACTTCGTCTGGGAGTTCAACAATAGCGGCGAGAACTTTGAGGTCGCGCCGGCCAAGTTCGACGGCAACAACGGCACCATGAGCGAGCTCGTTTACACCCCAGAATCCGAGAGGGATTACGGCGCTCTGACCTGCTGGGGTAGAAACGCGATAGGGAAGCAAGAGGCGCCCTGCATCTATCAGGTCATTCCAGCAGGTGATGTGCTGAACCCTCGTCCGCATTTACTCTATTAAGAAGAGCCGGCCGAGATTTGTCTCCCTGAATTTTTCATTGCGTATCAGGATGTGGGAAAACTCTCGCGTTGTCCTTCCTGTTTTCAGAGAAAAATATATTTCCCTTGGGTTCTGAAAATATTTAAATACTATGTTTTTATGTTACGCTGCATCACGTCGTAAACACGTAATATTTAGATGTTCATATCTAGAGTTTCGCGCGGGTATTTGTGCTTCTTTTTTTTTTGCCCGGCTCGCTTACAGTTGGCTTAACACATAACACATAACGGTATTTCATAAACTTGAAAATATCTGCTTTTGCTTTAGTTTTCCACGACGGATTATATCATGTCTCGTTACGTTTCACTTAAATTGTTTCCATTTTCTGCTACGAAGAAATGAAAAATATTTCTAATTTAGTTACATTTTTTCTGTTTTTAAATATTCTACATATATATATTTATTTTCTTTCTAACTTTTTCAATATTGTTGTGTCAAAAGACATCAACGAGAATTTTTTGACGATGGCACATGACGTAATTTTTAAATTAAAATCAAAATTCTATTTTAATAACGAAAATAATGTGTGCAGAAGCTTTTCTCTGTGACGGAAACATGTCTGTGCAGTGAAACCAAATCCCTTAAACAATTGCACCATCAAGGCGTCGCTCAATCAAAGCTCGGAGATCCTGGAGGTCGAGTGCGTGCCAGGATACGACGGCGGGCTCCACCAAGAGTTTCGGCTGGAGGCTTACGAAGTTCTCACCGGCAATCTCCGAGTGAATGCGTCCAGCGTGTCGGCCGATTTGCCAATCTTCCGGATCGCCGTGGCGGATCTCCTGCCGGCCACGCATTTCTACCTGGTGACCTACGCCGTGAACGCGAAGGGCCGCAGCGAAGTGTCACTGCTAGAGGATATAATGCTGCGGGATTCAGAAAAGCACACGGGTAATTCAATTCGAAAGACGATCTGATTGCAAGAATGTGAAAGTTTAATATTTCCATTATTCACTTATGCATCCTTACTTACGTCCTCTTTTATTTAGAGATCTATTTTATTGAAATCGTTTAAGGTGACAATAATAGGGAAGAGTGAGATGCATTTTAGATGAATATATTGATAGCACTAATATCTTTTCAATTACCGAAAGAAATGGTCGCTTTAAAATTGTATCGTTTCTGAAAAGATTGATTCAATTTGAGAATAAAATTTAGAGCACTATTTCGGATTCTTCGTGCAAAACAACTCAAATCAGGCCAATGGTGATCTGAAAGGCACTTTAGAAAGAATCGATAGAAATTCATCCTTTATAATCAAATTTGCAGTTTTCAAAATTAATTAATGATCGCGTTTATTTCTATTCTCGATGTATTAACGTCTATTAACGGTTTCCGATGGAGCTACCGGAAAAGAGAAAGAATGGCCTTTTTAGGATTTTAATATTGAAATACGGTTATAAATAGTAAATCTCGATTTTACGAATTCACGACTTCGCAAAATAGATTCGTGTTGACGTTTTTTTCGCCATGTTTAGCGGCATTATTTACGGGATAATCCGGGCGGTTCTTAACGCACGTGGCATTAGCAAACACTGTGGCAAATCCTTCCGATCACAGCGCAGAAATGCACTGGATTTCAGACACCGGAGTCAGCATGCTGCCGTTAATCCTGCTGTTGATCGGTTGCCTGCTGGCCTTCGGCGCCACGGTGATCTCGGTGATGCTGATGATGTATCGGCGCCGCGGAACTACGTCACCCGTCCACATCGAACCCTACATGAAACAGCCAATAATCACACCACCGGACTCCAGGAACAATTCGATGCTGGACGTGACCCACGGTGACCACACGTACTTCGTCGAGTACACGCTGAAGCAGGTCACCGATTACGCGCTCAATAATCAGCCAGATATCATACAGTCGCCGCAAGGTAGTAGCTAGATGAATAATAATAGCCATTTTCACATTTAATTTGACCTGACTTCAGCTGTTCCATCATTCATCGCGATGGAATCAGATTACCCGAAAGAGTGTCACGATGGAGAAAAATAATTTCAATGATTTATGAAGCGTTAAAAATTTAAAAGTGGATAATAATAGAAACTGCCTATCAATATGATTTCTGTGCTGTCGTAAATCTTCTCTTGTCTTGTTACGTGCTATTTCGAGGCGTGGTGGAGTAATCGATGTTTTTGTCAAAACGCATTTTTTTATTTTTGACGCAAACAAAAAAACAGATAAATTACGAAAGATTACTGAAGATTTGCTGAAGAAGAGAATAAAAATTCCAAGTTTATTCTTGGAATTATTTTCAAAACATTCGTTACTTGCTTGATTTTTCTCCTGGGCGCTTCTTTTAGCGAGAAATTTGGAAATTGTCCACGTGAAACGGAGTGATGTAAATGTTTCAGATCAAGAAAAGATCAAACGCGAGCCGCAACTGTTTTTGCCAGTGAGACCAGACACGTTGTTCGCGCCCTATGACATTCACAAGCAAGGGCTGCAGACAAACAGATGCAGCGTAAGTGACTTCAGAAATTATACATTTTTTCGACATTATTTATTTAATATTGTTGCCAAGTGTTGCCATGTTTCACGTCTTGTTGCAATTGAAAGAAAAATGGACTGTCTTTTCGTATTAAATTAAAAATGACGTATGTGTCTTATTAACTCATAATAAAACGATCTATTCGAATGTAATAATTGATTTCAATAATTAAAAGAGAATAAAGAGTTAAAAAGTAAAGCGCGCCTTCGATTCTTCTTTCAATTCTTTACAAGGCAGAAAGAAACTCGATAGTCTGAGAGATTCCGAACTCCGATTTGGAAGATTAGAAATTTAATCTATCGTAGATTGAATTTCTATCGATCGCTTATAAATTAAGTCAGATTAAGTCGACTATCTAACCAATCTTCTCAAGTTTAACTACCATGTAACCGATAGAATTGTTATAAATAATATCGTTTCTCCGAAACAGAAGATAGGAGAACGAATTACAAAGTTATTTCAGATTTCACATTTTATTTACTAATTTTATTTAGACGATCGATATTTTCTCTTAACTCGGCAGCTAAACCCGTTCTCCGCAAAGTCCTGGGAGCCCATCAGCTTCAAGACCGATCGCAACCTGATGAAGGAGATCATCATCGCCAATTCCATACCCGGCCCGGAGAGCTGCGTGTAAACTTGATCGCGGGGAGTGTATCGAGACGCAAACACACGCATACACGCACACGCCCAAACACCCACGTTTACTACATATCACAGGACGATCGATTTCGGAAGCCCGAAAACTGGTATCGCGCGCGTCGGTCGATACCCACGGCGGACGCGCGCGAGTATCTCAACGCAAAGTCAACGAATCTCGTGTCTCTCGCTTGTTAACGCGCGCGCCAGTGTGACATATCACGATGACGATATCGTAGCAGACATATCAGCGTATATCGTAGTATATCGCGGCGCGCCCACGATCTACTTCCCGAGATCATCTCGGGACTCCGGGAGCTTCGCCGAACGCTCCAGCGTCGAGGCCGGGAAACGCGAGGAATCGCGAATCGTCGCGAGGACGATTTAGTCGCATAATTTAACCGAACGCTACACGTGGTGTACTATTCCAAGTTTAATATATTTTGTGTCAAGTCTTGAAACGTCTCGTCATTTCATTAGCATCGTTCATCACGACTGGTATCTCCTTTCAGCCACTTTATTCTAGCATTTAATCACTAGTTTCTCTTTTCGTTATTAATATCAGTATCGTTATTATTAATTAATAAAAAGATCGAAATGTTTTTGAAAATCGGGAAAATATTTTTTATATTTTTATTATTTATATGTTTAGATTTAGATCTTTTAATTTAATTTGATATCACTTCAATCTATTAGTTTCTTTGTTTTATGAATAATTTATATTTTAGATAAATAATATATAATTTTGTATGATACACATTAATGATTAGATACGATTCATATATATTTCCTACTGTTCCAAATTCTCTCATAATGTAAACAAGGATAAACTAAAATTGGCAATTAAGACTGACTATTTTTAAATATTTTTAATAATTGATCTGATTCACTCGCGCTTACGTTATTTTAGAAAAATATAATAAATGCAAGTAAATCAATTTTTTTCTTATTCAACCTACTTTTAAAAATATTACAATACATTTAAAAAACGATCCGCTTCGCCCGTCGATCTGATTCACTCGCATTTAATCTAATATTATGATCAATTTAGATTCAATTTGTCCCTTAATTTAGCAAACAGATTTAGCTGATCTCTTTTTAAGACAAGAAAAAAACAGGAATAATTTACATAAAAGATATCTTTTTTTCTCTCAAGATAAAAGAATGGATATTAGCTTTTAAAAAATTAATTTATTTTAGAATCCACACGAGAGAATCCATTCAAGAACATTTTCTTGAGCCTAGAAACTCTTCTTGAAATGACGAATAAAAGAAAAATATTATTTTACAAAAAAAAATATATTTATTTAGAATTTCATAAAATAAAATAAGTATAAAATAGAGCTTCTTTTTTTTTCGATAAACAGATATACGAATTGGGCAGACATTTTTCGCGCAAAATATTGCAAGAAAGTATACACACATATAGATGAATTTTCATAAATCTTAATTAAAATCAACTGCCATCTAATTTTCGTTTCTTGCCGCAGGTAAAATTGGAATGAGGATAAGTTGAACCTCAATAAACTTTAATTACCGTTCACGGAAACGTTAATAAATGCGCAAGTTAAAATAACAGGCTATGTCTAAAACAGCGAGCGCTTGGCGTGCGTGTATTTAAGAGATGAGGCGAAGCAGGTGCGACCGCTTCCACAGGTCGTCGCACCCAGGAAGACACCGTATACCAAAGCAGTCCAGGCTATCACGCCGACCACTGCGGCCGCCAGTATCAGATGTGCTCGATGACGAACGCGATCCAGGATCCACAGCATCCACTTGCGGTCCACCGCTCTCCCAGGAGATGCCGCGCGATGGAAGGATGCGGTCGTTATGTTCTACAGACACGCGGATATTGGATCAAGTTATAAACTCTAACCGGTTAATTATCGAAAACTATTTTACTTACACAACCATAGTTCTCTTAATTCGGTTCGCTCATTTAACATCGAGCAATTTCTCAAGCAAATTTGTACTTTTTTCATAAATTTATAGATTTATACAGACATAATTGATTATTCTTTCTTATTAATGTACAAAAAAAAAATTATTTTGTAAGAATAATTAATTAATTATTGTCGATTATACAGCTTCACTCACCGTTATTGCGTTCTCCATTCCGACAGTTTGTTTTACAATTGCAACTGGTTTCTGCATTTCGTATACTTTATCTTGCGTCTGTACTCCGCCTTCTACTTCGTACACGTCATTGTACGGCTTATGTATTTCACCGTATATTTCGTGAACATCCTCCTCCCTGTGGGGTTCTTCGTGCATTTTGCTGGACGATTCGCTCTTGCTTTCTTCGTGAATTTCATCGTGCGCGTCGCCTGCGATCGGGAAGTGCTCGTACTACATGCGACAAAGAGTTTTTCTTGTAGGAAATTGCTAGTTAAAATGGAAAACTAAAGAAATTAAGAGGAATCGCTTCGGGAACTTGTTCTATATAAAATTAGAACTTTCGAAACTTTCTATATTGATCCTTGACAAAATAAATATTTCCATGCGGTGATTAGAAATTAAAGGACACTATCAATTTTTCTAACAAATTTGACATTAAAATATAATTATTAAGGAAACAAATGAGATGATAACATATCAAGAGAGAAAGGATAGTTAAAAATATTCCAAACGCTAATATTATCGCTTAATTTAATTTCTCGTTCAAGAAAATACACTCGATATTTTACTTACAGTTATAAAAAGTCTTTGCAGAGTTTAAAATACGGATTGATTTATTTAAATATCATATATCACGATAAAAATTTTTCAACATTTTTTTGCACTTAAAAATGATATTTTTTCTATTCTTGAAAAATCGACGAATTTGCAAAATTAATATCCATCGGTTGCTCTTAATTTATCTATTTTTCATTCAAAAGGAAGAGAAATGATACACTCAGGGATACTTCATTTACCGTTATAAGGAGACTCTGCATAATTTAACTTTCACGGTGCACTGAATAATTTAAGCATCGCGCATCATGATAAAAATTTTTCCACATTTTTTGTCTTCAAGAGTAATTTTTTTTACTTTTGAAAAAAAAACGGAAAAATTGGCGTACGATATATTTAATTTTTTCAAACTTCCCTCTTTTCTAAATAACACGTTCCACGCTGATCAAACACGAGACGCTTAAGATTATTAAGCGTCAAAATCAACCGCGCGCACGCACTGTACAAATGTATATCTTTAAGCAGAAAGAGAGAGAGCGACGTCCTCCAAACGGACCAAAGGATGATTTTAACGTGTCTGGGAAAGGATCGATAGCATCCAATTATAGGGATGCGGGAACCCGTACCTGCGTGTTCTGCAGTTTACTTATTTGCTGACGAACCAGGCGAACCACCTTGCATTTCGCGTGTTGACAGTTCGCCAGGAATTCTGCGAAGCTCGTCGCCTGATCGTCCTGCTCATCCTGCTCCAAATAACGGCAGCCGGCGCATGTAATCGCATCACATATCATATCTGACAGTGTGTAAATGATCTGTCGCAGTGTACAAAGTGAGCCATGCGATATAAAAGGATCATTTTGTCGGATGAACTCGCCGCTTAATGCGACTGAAGATATAAACGAATCGAAGCGCTAGTTGAACAACGCAATTTTTGAAGAAAAATATCTATCTTCATTCCAATCAATTAACAATAATTCTCAATTATTACATACTTAATATTCTCAAGTATATTTATTATAATTTTTGAAATTTGAATTTAAGTAGAAGAAATGACTGATTTACAAAAACAAGCAAGCGTTTCATATCATATCGTTTATTAAATTTTTTCAGTTTCAAATATCATAAAAACACAAATATAGATGCACAATAATTCATTAATTCTTATATTCGTTCTTAATCTTTATTTCAATTAGAGTAAATTATAAACAAAAAAGCTGGCTATAAAATACCTATTTAGATAAATAATAATAAGTGCAATGAAGAAAAAGAGATGTAATCAAATCGAAAGATTAAAGTAACGAATAATCATCCATGATGTGAATATTTAGACATAACGAGTGTCCCAAGTGCATAAATTTTACGTGTTGAAACATTCCTGACACCAAGGGTACATAATTCAACATAATTCAGTGAAGAGAGTCTATAATGAAGTCTAATTTCCATCTCCGATCAGATGATGATCTAAATTTCATAATACAGCTATTTCTGAACATTGCATATTCTGTCGGAAGATCCATAAATCTAGCGCCGATCAGGATAAAATATAATTATGCGTCGAACCCAATCGCTGACGGTAGTAATAATTGTAACAAGGTACATCGATCGATTATTTGTATTTCTAATAAAATATTTGCAAGATAATTTCTGATATAAATAAATTTTCCAAAAAAATTTATATAATAAATTTTTAGATTTTGCTAAATTCGATTCCAATAATTTATAAATTATATCGTATACAAAGTAGATAAAATATTTCGCAAAAAGCTAAAATAATTGTAAAAAACCATTTAAGAATTGACGACAGAATGAGGAAATTCAAAAATAGATATATTTTGATAATCTTGATTGGCCATATCGCATGATTATCAAAATAAATACAAATATAAAGCATTTTCTCTTGAAAATAATTAAAATATGAAACATAACATCCAAAAAATAAGATTATTCATAAATATACAAAAATTACGATATTTGTTCTTATTTTATCTACTATTTTATAATTAAATTTTATATAAATATATCTGTCACTATCATTAATTAAGTCTTGGTTTTTTTTCAGGGGGTGGTTTCATGTCTTTTTTTTCGGTCTTTATCTCTTGTTTTTCTATGGCTGAAATGAATAAAATTATTAATGTTAAAATATTAAAGTACTAAATTAGAAATAACAAAAATGAAAGAAAAATATGGACACTACGTACAGGTTTCCGTTGCTTGATGCACTGGTTTCGGCACTGATAAGGGAAATTTACGAATGAGTTCCGCAAGTAGCATATCCACTCTTTGACGTTGAAATAATGAACTAGGTTCCTCGCGTACTGGCGTTTCCTTCTTAGTGGCCAAAGCCTTGCCATTCTTGAAATCCCAATAGTAGCCCTTGCTAGGATGATATCGAGAACAGCTGCTGGCTTCATCAAAGGCAGATTGCAGATGGTGAACTGTAGATAACTGCACAGAATACATTTCTTGAATATAACAATTTACACGTACTAAAAAAGGTACTCTTCAATAATAAAATACTCTTCAAATATTAATAACAGATAATATACTTCAAATATGCTACTTTTCCAAAAACGTTGACATTTTCTCACTCACCAGTCTAGAACTCACAACGGATCCTAAATCTGGAGCTTGATAGACAACACCTGCTATAATGTAATAATCAGCAACTGGCGTAGCTGATGTTGAGGAATACCGGTGTTGTTTCCTAATCACATACAGAATTGGCTCTTGCACATGTAAAAGGATATACTCCAAGCCAGTCATATTACTGAAAAATAGCGCAATGATAGTCAACAATTATTACAATATTCATGTATTTAAACAAAAAATTATAATTTACGGTAATTGTTCGGGATTCACACGTTGCATTTTCACTATCTCATTGTTACAAGTTCTGTCATAAAATGGATTACTCCTTTCAGAAAAGTAATCCATGATGTTATTTGGGTTAAGCATAGGAATCCAGGTACTGTCATGCCAAGATAAACCCAAGGGATTCTCTGTGACAAATGTAGAAATAAGATTATAATTAATATGTATATATGTTAATTATCCAACATTTCAACAAGAATAATTAAATTAATAAATATTAACCTTGTACTGGTGTTTTTCCAGGCATCATCATTATACTCAACAAGTCAGCTAATTATTGTAATAAAAAAATATGCAAGTAATTGCGATTTTCCCCACAATATTATTTACATTATCAATTTCACTTCACGCATCACAATCCCTCTTACTGATCTCACTTTATCCCACTTTATCCAACTGATTTGTCATCAGCTATTTCCTGTGTGTTCCCTGGCGATACGCGGCGCACGCATTTCTTCTTGTTCCGATTCAACGATATTTACATCGATATTAGTGATCCTGCCGGCATTCATCTCAATCATGTCCAAGCATTTATCGATCGGTAAAATAGATAATCGACTGACCATCATTCGGTAAATATTTTAATTAATTTTTTTAAAAAAGATGTCGCGCGGAAAGTGCAATACAAAACGTCATCACAGTTGCCTCTCTCATTCTGTGTGTATACTGCTATGCACAGTTGTTCTGTTCGCTTCCCGGCTTGTGATTTTGGAGTCTGTCAGTAGTGCCGCGCGATCGCGCGCAATGGTGCTTTGTCGCTATCTGTCAATCGCTTCAATCTGTGGCGGCATCGATCACAATGTGATTGCGATTCCCCGTTTCCGGAAAGTGTCACTCCGGCTCGAACGACGCTTTGGTATCGATGCTGCATTTACTGAGATGCGCCGTTGGCCTGTACGCTAAATGGCAAAGGTAAATGAGACTTCAGAAAATGAATCTCTAAAAACGCACAACATTAAATGTTTCGAAAACGATGAACAATTAGCAAATAGTCCTTAACTGCAAGATTTTAGGTCCTATAAAAGGATATAAATAGTAAATTTACTAGCTTTCTAAGTAATAAAGTTTTGCAGTGTCATGTTGACAAGTTAACACACATTTAATTTATTTAAAAGCAATATCGGACTTTTGATAGATAGAGTCTCAAGGAATACAGTCACGTTACTCTGAAAATTTTGATGTTTCGATTTTTCGACGTAGGCAACGAATGATTAAAATGATAGAAATTTATTCGACATGCAAGATTTTCCATTTTGCACTTAATTGTGTCGCTTTCATTTTTTCTCAAGACTCGCGAACGATTAAACATGGAGGTTAGAAAACTGTCGTGACAGCTTTCCCACAAGTTAGAACGCGTGCGCGTGAAATGGATGTGCTTGAAAGCGAACACAATTCGAAATTACTCGATTTCATATGACACATTGTTTTTTTTATCTGTACACAAAATGAAACAAATTTAAATTAATGTTGGAATTTGCTCTACATATTTTCGAACACTGTAGAAAAAAATTGTAAAAAAAAAACAATTTGTGTGAAAAGCAAGTGAATGTAACTGAGAAGAACAAACGAGTAAATTAATGTAATTTCAATCTTATATCATTTTTTTATTTGCTGTTTTACCTTCTTTTTCTTTAAATATATATGCTTTCTATCGTTTCAATATAATATAATAGAATTATGAACAATCAACCATTTTATCTTTTTTTATGAAAGTAGGATATTTTGGTTCATTAAGTATTGCTTTACGCTCGATCATTGAAGCAATAAGCATTCTCGTATATGCATAACATTTTCTTTTTCTTCTAACTAAATAATAAAGAATTATGAAATTTCCAACATTTCGTTTTTATGAACGGCAACTTTAAACTTTATTATTGGATTAGTAAATTACTTGCAATTTTTAATTTTTCTTGTTTTTTGGAATTAAACGTGTTGAAATGTTTTCACACACACAGATTATAGCGACAGCTCTTGCAAAGCCTTCTTAATCTTAATTAAAAATCTCGAGTGAAATGACGCCAATTAAAGCACATTAATTTGCAACATGTCAAGGTAAGCGTCGCACAGCTTCTAAATGATATTCATAAGTATATTAATAGTGCAATGCATCTGTGATATATTGCAGAAGTCACTCCAGAGGAAGTGATAAAACTAGAAAAATTGACATTGATATTAATCATGCCGTAATGAAGTGATAAACAAGATTTGTAAGTATATATATCTCTAAGATCAATCGTATCTTCTAATATTCCAATTTCTTTAATTTACACGAAATAGATTTTTTCTAAAAGATACACATTCAATATAATGTATTGTCAATAATATAATAGCATCAAAAAGATAATATCAACAATGTCAAATAATTGAAAACTAATGAACAGAAGAGAAATTGAAGAACTTATGCTTGTCTTAAACCATATTTAAAAAAAATAGGACACATTTAAAGAAAAGGTTATTTCAATCTCAATTATCTAAATAAACTTTTAGAAATTTTAGAAGGCAATTTGGAAAGAATTTCTTCAATTCAAAATCTATAGTTCGAAATATTCAATTGATACAAATATCTTGCAGTTATCGTAATGGAGGACTATACACCAATCGACGAGGACTTCCCGGGCCGGCTGTTGCACCAGGCTGCGCTTTGGGACAACGCCGAGTTGTTGGAAGATCTGCTGCGCGGTGAGCACGCGCAGTACGTCAACAGCAAGGACTCGTGGGGCAGGACACCAATGCACGCAGCCGCGATCACGGAGAACTCCCGCTGCCTGGACGTCCTGCTGACCGCCGGGGCCGATCCGAATATTACTTGCGGCCCGCGGGGTCACCATCGGACGCCGTTGCACGTGTGCGCGGAGCACGGCCATGCCGGCAACGTGGAGAAATTGCTGAGCTTCAATGCAGACCTCATGATCCGCGACGACGACGGCATGAAGCCGCTCGACATTGCCGAGAAGGGCAGGCACGACTCTTGCATCCATCTTCTGAAAGTAGCGGCCGAGAAATACGAACTCGCTAAGGAAGCAACACACGCCACTTTACGCGCGGCTTGTATTCAAGGCGACACTGTAGCCGCCCGGAATATTATTCAGGGCCTGTCGACCGATCTGGAGTGCGTGGTGAACATGGCGCCCAATGGCGCAAACACGCTGCTCTTCGTCACCTGCGAGAGCGGCCACAAGGATATCGTACGACTATTGTTGGACCACGGTGCCGGCTGCAGGAGTCATCCAGTTACCAAGTACTGTCCGCTTTACATAGCGTGCTACCACGGCAAGGTGGAGATTGTCGAGCTGCTGCTTCGACATTTTCCCAAGCAGACGCAGCAGCTCACAGTGGAACGTTGGCTACCGATTCACGCCGCGGCGATAAACGGCCATCATCTCGTAATCGACATGCTGCTCAAGTTCGAATATCCGCAACACATCTATCAACGTTACAGAGATCCGTCCGGCGAGTTCGAGTACGAGCTACCGTTCGATATCAACGCGCAGGATGTCACCGGCCAGCACGTGTTGTACATAAGTAGCATGTTGGGAAACGTCAAGTGCGTCGAGCTGTTGCTGAGTTACCGAGTGAAGGCGAGGACCACCAAAGAGGAAGACGGCGCCGGCGGCACACAGCAGCTTCCAGTATCCAAACGCAAAATCTCCAGCGGTATCCAGAGATTGATGTCGTCGCTGAATTTCCGCAGCAAGACGCCCACGGATAAAAAGGACGACAAAATGATATATCCGGTGAATCTCGATCTCTACTGCAACAACGGCAGCGAAACCGCGCTGCACGCGGCCGTCAGAGGCAGACATACCGACGTGGTGAACGCTCTCCTTCAGGCCGGCGCCAATTTGGAGCTGCCTGTCAAAGTCCCGTACGACCAAAGTGATCCTGAAGGCAGTTACTCGAGCGTGCTGACAATCGCGTGTCAGAATCGCGACGTGAAGATCGCGGATCTGTTGCTGAAGCACGGCGCCGTCGACAACGAGTGCAAGGCGTTGAAGATCGCCGCGCAGAATCGCGACGAGGCGTTGACCGCGAAGCTGCTGTCGATCAAAGCGCATCCGGACTCTGAATATAAGATCAACAAGAAGGCCATGACCGAGTGTACGCAGAGCTCGCACTTTTCCGCCCTGTCGTCCTTCGGCCACGTCACCTACTCCACGCTGTTCCCGAAAACGCCCACGATGATCAACTGGCATAATCAGCAGTGTCACCTGTCGCAGATTCGACTGCAGTGGCTGATCGACGCGGTGCTGCACGTTAACAGAAAGCTGAGCCCGCGGAACAACGACTTGGTGCTGTACGCTATCACGCGCATCGACATCTCTCACAACTCCATCACTACCGTGCCGTCCGCCATGTTTTACCTACAAAGTCTACGATATCTCAACATGGCGCAGAACAAGATCGACACCCTCACGGCCGACTCGAAGAATCCGAAGGACAAGCTGTGCCCGGTCCTGGAAGAAATGTATCTGCAAGACAATCGACTGGAGCAATTGCCGGAATTTATCATGAATTTGCCGGCGTTAGAAATCATGGATGTGTCCAACAACAAGCTGCAATGCCTGCCGCAGAACCTGTGGCGCGCGCCCAAGTTGAAGGAATTGAACGCGTCGTTCAATTTGCTGCGCGATTTGCCGAGTCAAGCGTCGCAGAATGTTCTGAGGAAGCCGCAGCGCGGCGATGAGGTGCAGCAAAACGGCGTCTTTCGCGGATTGGCCGCTGTACCGCGTATAGAATCCATGGAGTTCGACTCGTTCACGAAGATCGCGAACGCGCAGGTGATCGAGATGGAACGGCCGCATGTTTGGACCAGCTCCGTTCAAGTGTCCGAAAGGATGAGCGACGACACGGAAAACGGCAACAAGTCGGTGCTGGCGTCGTTAAATCTGGCGCACAACCTCTTCAACAGCATTCCCGTGGCGCTGCCCTGCCTCGCGGTCAGCCTGGTGCGGCTGAATATGGCGTACAACTCTCTGCGCTCGATGAGTCACATCACCTCGTACCCGGCGAGCCTGAAGCAGCTGGATCTGTCGAACAATCAAATCACGCGGTGGCCTAGCTTGCCGCAGGTCGACAGTTCCGACAGCATGGAGCAGGCGAACACGGCCTGCTACTGTCCGGCCGTCAACGCGCAGTCGCCCAGCATCGTACCTTGCAACCCACGGCAGACGCCCACGTCAATGCGTGACATCGTGTTGCAGTCGGTGTGCGCGCACAGGCGACACCTGCGACTGGAGAATCTACGCACGCTGATCCTAGCGAACAATCTGCTGAATCGCATCCAGCTGACGTCGTACGACGACGGCGAGATGCCGTGCCTGGACGAAGAAAGGGACGCGGACAAGGACCCGAACACCGGACACTCCACCAAGTCGTACTTACTCTTTCCTAACGTGAGCATGCTGGACATCAGCAACAATCAGCTGCGCGATATACCGCACAACATCTACGAGCTGAGCAATCTGTCGGTGCTGAACGTCAGCGGTAACAACGAGATCGTCGAGCTACCGCCGCAGATGGGTCTGCTCGGTCGCCTGTGGAATCTCAACACGCAGGGCTGCCGCCTGCAGGAGCCGCTCAAGTCGATGATCGAATCGAAGAAATATAAGACGATGGATGTGATCGGTTATCTCAAGTCGATTCTCGAGGATGCAAAGGCGTACGCGCGTATGAAGCTGATGATCGTCGGCATCCAGGGCATCGGCAAGACGAGTCTGCTCGAACAGCTACGGCAGGAGGGCGAGGTGCCGAACAAGAAGAAGGCGTCCGAGCACTGGGCCAAGCGAATGGGTAACAAGAACATCAACGCGAAGACCGCCAAGGGCACGATCATCTCAACGGTGGGCGTGGACATCGGCGATTGGATCTACGAGAAGAAGGTGCGCGGACAATCATCCCACGGGTCGGTTTATTTCAGAACTTGGGACTTTGGCGGCCAGCGTGAATACTATGCCACGCACCAATACTTCCTGTCGAAGCGCAGCTTATACCTGGTTGTATGGCGGATCACGGATGGATTCAAGGGCGTTTCCGAAATCTTCCAGTGGCTGGTGAACATTCAGAGTAGAGCGCCCAACTCGCCGGTCATTATCGTCGGCACTCACTACGATGTTTCCTACGAGCACAGCGAAGGCTTGCAGCAATACATCCGCGACAAGTTCATCAACGTGGTCGATGCGGAGAAGTGCGGCCTGCCCAAGGTCATGGAAACCATCGAAGTGAGCTGTAAGACGCGACACAACATTAAGATGCTGTGCAATCTTATCTACGATGTCGTCTTCAGTCTGAGATCGCCCGGCAGCAAAGAACTGCTGCTGGAACAGAAGGTTCCTGCGAGTTATCTGGCGTTGGAGGACGTGGTGATCCAGCTGGCGCACGACAGAAAACTGTCCGGCATGGATCCGGTGCTGAAAGCCGATCAGTATTACGCGGCGGTCAACAACGAGCTTCAGAAACTGCACAGGTCCTTCAGAGACCCCGCCGAGCTTCACCAGGCGACGCTTTTTCTCCACGAGAACGGTATAATTCTGCACTACGACGACGCCACGCTGAAGGATCTCTACTTCTTGGATCCGCAGTGGCTCTGCGACATGCTGGCTCACGTGGTCACCATACGAGAAATCAATCCATTTGCCAGATCCGGCATAATGAAGCTCGACGACATCCAGCACGTCTTCAAGTCCTCCACGATATCGTCGATCGATACCCAGGGCTATATCGTCAGCTTGCTGAACAAGTTTGAGGTCGCCCTGACGTGGGACTGCCGCACCCTGCTGATACCGTCTCTTCTGCCCACCGAGGAGGACGTCCTGCGCAACAATCAGATCATCAGGGTGCCGGTGAAGACGCGCGGTTGGCACCAGATGCGCGCCAAGAAGATAACATCGCCCATGTTCGTATGCTTGAGCGCGACACCCGGCGACAACAAGAGCGCCGAGTGCGTGCTGACGTCGAGATCACAGCCTGATTGTTCCGTCACTAGACTGTTGCTCATGTCGTACTTTCCGAGCGGCTTCTGGTCCCGATTGGTCACACGAATCTTAGCCGACGACGCCATCGTCGAGATCGTCATGTCATTCCTGGCGCCGTTCAAAGACTTTGTCGACGACAACATCTTCGCCAGTTTGCTGGATCTGCAGGCGGAATGGGTGCTCTGGCAGACGGGAATCGAGCTACGGTACTCGGGCATCACCTTGCTGCGCTTGAAGGAGGTCTGTTACAATCTGAAAAATTCGCCGTACGATTATAGGCAATTTATATTCAAGCTGAAGCAGGACGGCATTTGGTGCACGGTGGATCTGAAAAATTCTGCCATCCTCGAGATCTGGTTTCCGGTCGACACCCTCGTCATCAAGCAGCCCATCATGTCCGATTCCGTGGACGAGGAGCCGATGGGTTACCAGGCGATCGTAGTGGAGCCGCGGCCGGAGAGCATACCGCAGCTAATGGCGCTGATCGTCGACCATATCGACATCCTGCTCGAAGACTGGTATCCTACGTTAGGCACACGCTTCGTTCACACCTCGGAGGGCAAGCTGCTGGTCACCAGGCTTATACCTTGCCCGCGGTGTCTGCTCGGTAACGCCGAGAGCGGCGACAGCGAGTCGAGCGACAGCGACGGTCGGCTGATCGAGGATATTCAAAAGTACTGCGCGGTGAATCGCACCGAGAGACAAAGCCAGGACAGCTACAAATCCGACGGCGACAGCGGCGTCGGCTACGACAGTCTGACATCCAGTAGGATGCCGTCGCTCGAAGGACACCCGGACGTATCGAAGCAGCAGAATTCTTCGTCGCACGCCGAAGGCACTCTCGCCTACTCTTGGATGGTGGAGGAATGCATACTGGCGGCGTACAGCAACAAGCCCATCAGCTGTCCGAAGCACTCGGAGATTCCGCTGTCGCACGTCGCGCCGGACATCATCTTTATGGACCTGGGCGCCAAGCACCTGATCAAGTCGGACGACCTGAAGCGCGGCAAGCTGCTCGGTCGCGGCGCCTTCGGCTTCGTCTTCCGCGGCAGCTGCCGGCTGCCGGGCACGCACATCCGTGCCGACGTGGCCATCAAGATGCTGCAGCCGGTCTCGCCGGGTCCGAACTCCACGCAGTCGGCGATCCTCGCGTACAAGGCGTCGCAGAGCAAGTGGGATCGGGACCCGTTGCAATACGCCTGCAAAGCGTACTGCATGGCGCGTCAGGAACTCAATATCTTGCTGACGCTCAGGCACGCGAACATCGTGCCGCTGATCGGCATAGTCGTGAGTCCACTGGCTCTCGTGTTGGATCTGGCGCCCCAGGGCGCACTGGACAACGTCCTGAAGAACTACCGTCGCTCCGGCGCCAAGCTCGATCCCTACACGCTGCAAGCGATAATCTTGCAGGTTGCCAAAGCGGTGGAGTATCTGCATCAACAGCACGTCATCTATCGCGATCTGAAGTCGGAGAACGTTTTAGTGTGGCAGATACCATTGCCGTTTCAGGAGAGTCCGGAGCCGGTGCACGTGAAGGTCGCCGATTACGGTATCTCGCGACTGACACTACCCACGGGTGCGAAGGGCTTCGGCGGCACGGAGGGCTTCATGGCGCCCGAAATCATCAAGTACAACGGCGAGGAGGAGTACACGGAGAAGGTGGACTCGTTCTCGTTCGGCATGTTCGTCTACGAGCTGATCACGCTGCGTCAGCCGTTCGAGGGCCACGAGGCGGTGAAAGAGTGCATCCTGGAGGGCGGCAGACCACCGCTCGTATACCGCGAGACCTTCCATCCGTGCTACGCGCTCGACCTGATGGTGATATGCTGGGCGCAGAACCCGAAAGATCGGCCAACCGCCAGTCAGATCGTCTCGATCGCTTCCGCGCCTGAGTTCACACACTTGATAGACGTCACCCTGCTGACGGAGCGCACGCAAGTGACGGCGGTCACCATGACGAATCGCAGCGGAAACGCCGGCGGCCAGAACGACACGGCGGACGGTCTGAACGGTGACGAGATCTGGTTCGGCCACAACAACGGCGAGGTGGACATGCTGCTGGGAACGCAGAAGGGCTGGCTGCGTCACGTGCGCATTGAGACGCCGGTAATACCGTACGCCATGTGCGGCGTCGACGGCTACATCTGGATCGGCGACAACGCCGGCCAGGTGCACGTCTACCTGTGCGGCAACTTCGGCTGCGTGGCAAGCTACAGCCTGGAAGCGGATCACAACCGGGAGTCGAAAGTAGTCGGGCTGATCCATCTGGAGCAGCTGAAACAGTTCGCGGTGGCGTTGCACAGCGGCCGGATCTTCCTGCTGTCCAATTCGTTCACGCAGATGCGGAAGTCGGAGGTCACGGCGAACGGCGCTGCCGCGGAAACGACTCGTCACAACGCCGATGTCAAGACCTACTCGCTGGCGGCGGTCTGCCGGAAGAGGCGGGTGCTGGAGCTCTGGACGGGTCAAAGTTTCGGCCGGATATCCATTTACACGTTGAAGGACGGCAATCTGATCGACACGGTGCAGTTGTCGCACTGCACGGGAACCGCCAACGACACCGCGATGAGAAATCTCTTCGCCACGTACCTGATCGCCGCGGCGACTGAGAACTTTGTCTTCTCGTACACGTATCCGGGCTGCGTAGTGTTCCAGTGGGACGTGGACAGCCGGCAGATCGTCAACAAGCTCGACATGTCCAAGCTGGTGCCGTGCTCCGAGAGTCTCAAGTCCATTTCGATCGAGGAGAATCTGTCGACGGAGAAGTGCCAGGTGACTGCGCTCGAGGCCAGCGCGGGCCAGCTGTACATCGGCACCACCTGGGGCTGCATCGTCGTCGCCGAGTGCGGCACCCTGCGGCCCGTCACCGTGTTCCGGCCGTTTGAGGGTAAGGTCTGCCAAATCGTGACGCTCAGGTCCGCTGACAAGAAGAAATCGGTGCTGGCGACTGTCGGCCAGGGCTACCGCAGCCTCATCGCGCGGTACACCGACTTCCCGCTGAAAAATCTGGAGAGCGAGGAGCTCAGACACGGCATGTACACGCTGCTGTGGCGATCGGAGAACTGGTCGGCTGCCTGATTTCCTCGGAGGTCTTAAAATCCACGTTGTCATTCGCATTTAGCGTTATTTAGCGTTGAACGCTCGTCTGATTCCGTTTATCTTGAACGAAGATAACAATACACAAAGTCAAGAGACTATGAGATAAAAATTAACCGCGCTTTAACATTAAATGCGCGGTGACGGTACATAAAATAAAAATACACCACTACGCTTTAGCACTAAATGTGAGAAGATGGACCTAATTCAACTTCCTTAACGAATGGGCAAAAAGAAATTTTTGTAACGGGATTCAATTGATGCCAAAGTATAATTCGATATGACGAAATTTCGAAGAGCGGTGAAGTTTGTCGTAACAGGATTGCAAGACTTCCTTCTTCGGCAGTGGATACCGGAAATGCTTAAGTGGTGCGGGGTTTAACTGAGTTACGACTCGGTGAATCTTATACGTCCAATATTATAGTACCTAATATAAAGGGGTGTTCGATGCGAATAAGCGTGCTTGACGAAGAAACCATTTCTTCGTAGAATTGAGAGAAACAGCTTTTGGCGTTTAATGTTTCTCGGAGCACCAAGTACGTTTATTAACGAATACTCTGTGTATTTATCGCGTGATAAACTGTAAGCTGAGTCTTTAGTTCGTCCAGGTTGCAGGAATCTATTAGTCAAGTCATAAAAGAAACACATTCTTATTTTGTATAACACTTAAGCTTAAGTAATTTAATGACACTCTGAAGTACGTTTTCGCTTTAAATATAATCGGATGTTAGCTACGAGTCATGCTATTTTAAATATTTAAATAACGAATAAACACGAATAATTTTTCGATATTAATGCAATTCGATTCATCATTGCAAGATAAGAACAAAGAAAAGAAAAATATTCTTTAATATCCTTAACTGAACTGTTTTAGATATTGAAAAGATATTTTTAGCACTATTAATTAATTTTGATAATATCGTTAATGTTAAGCTCCGATGAGTCTTACTGCTGACAGTAAAATTCACAATTTCGAAATGAAAATATGATTTTTTTAGATCAAGTTTATACATATACATATATCTTTCCCTGCGATTCAGCTGTATCACGTCCAAAGTAATATCCTTCGTATTACAAAGTATGCGGAGATCATGTCCAAATGAAGCTGAAATTTGTAGGGTATGCAATAAAAAAGTATATCAGCATTTTATTATTATATTAGAAAAATAAGTAGCATCTTGCTCAACCGATCAAATTTTACTTTTTCACTTATGATTTAATTGTAGAAGAATGAACAGAATGTATCCCAAACAATTAATGTGATACGAGATACTCAGCGAGAAAGAGAAAAAAAAACATAATATATTACTAAAAGATATTATATATTATTTTTAATTACGACGCTCTCTAATTGTGTTTACTGGCAAAAAACTTTTGGAAAGCTTGCTAGAAATCTAAACAGATATATATGCCCCTTCCCAATACGTAAAGGACTATTCAAGCTAACGTTTTTATTAGCTCATAACAATAGATGAAAAAGTGAGCAATACTTATAATACGATTTATACGTCGCATGTAACGCATTTAGGCGACAAATTGTATTTAAAGGACTGAGCGGACATTACCTCGGGAAAAATGTGAGTTTTCTTAGTAATATATGATGTACACGGTTTGCTGGCATTCCCGAACCGACGCGTTCGGTATATTAATACAGTAATTTTAATACACATTGCGTTTTATACGAGGAAAAGTCGAAAAGTGAAGGAACATTGATTGGGGATTTAAAAGCTTCTTTACTCTTTTACTTTTCCTCGTATTTATTTTTAATTACTCGTACCTGCAACGCATGAAGCGAATCACAGTGATATATAGCGCAGCTTGCATCCCCTTTTTCTAATATTGACGATTATCGTGACGCGAGCTAGATAGAAATTGTACGTAACTATACCCAATGTAAAAATCCCGAAATATTAATTAAGTACCTTGGAATATAACGAGTGATTACTGTAAAGAAATTTCTACTTATTAAGATTGAAAATTCTACGAGTGATCTCGACGCAGAACCATCATTGTAAATTCACACGTTTACTCATCGTAAAGATTATTATGGTTATCATCTCATTATTCATCAGCGTAAGTTATAATCTTACCAGAACTCATTGTTATTTAATGTACCGATTGTCACAAATATAAACCATTGTTGAACAAGAACGTCATTCGCCAATTACTATTTCCATCTTTGCGACACTGTCGTAACAATGTTGATTGCAATTAGCACATATTATGTAATTATTCAAAAAGATTTTAAATTATGAAATTTTTATTTACAAAATTTACAATAATACTATAATGTGCTGCTTAGGACGTGGATAATTTATTCTCTTCTCTGCTCAATTCTTTTTGCATTTCCAACTGCAAAGTATACTGTTGCATTGCTCGCTCATAAGCGTTATCTTCTGATAATCTTTCCTGCTATTAATTGAGTATATTTTCAATATGTAATCATTAATTTTACTAATAAATAAATTAAATAACTAGGCATACCTTTTGTATTGTTTTATAGATAGATAGAAAATTCTGTGTTGAAGAATTTACATTTTCTCTTGCCAAATTGGTAGCTGGTATAAAACTCTGGTCTTTGTGAAATCTTCTGCAAAAGCAAATTTCATTATGGTAATACAATAACACAATTTAGTTCTCAACGCACAAATATTGGACTGAACATAATATATTAAAGCATAACGAACGCTCTAATGATATCCTCTTCATAAAATATAGGTTTAATAGGTTTCTTTGGCAATCGTCTATCAAATCTTGGTTCGTATTTTGGAGGGAAAGCCTCATATATTGCCAGCCATAAGGGTTTGTCTTCCTCTTTCATAGCTTTGCCCTTTAATAGTGCGATAGTTCTGAAATTTATTTCATTATGCAAAAATATTTAGCGGAATATTGTAATTGTAGTAAATATTTAAATTTTTAATTAGCAAGTGTTAGTGAATATATTTTCTTGCAGATTTTAAACACAAGATATAGCAGCATCCTGTTCATAAATAAGAGCTGAATATTTATCGAAAAATTATTTCATTAATTTGGGACAAAGTTTTTGTACAATAAAATGTAACAATTATCCTGCAACTTTTTAACAATTGTTATCTCAATTCTGATTAAAAAACAATTATATTTAATAAAAATATAAAGATTTTAGGCTCACCTGGAATACACCGTACCGATTTTCTCCAATCTACTTTGTGCCATTGTGTTTTTATTTCAAGGAAATAATACGCTAATAAATACAGGAAGCTGGATTCGACCTGATGGATTGTCTTTATTTCATAACCTAATTTTTCGAGCAACATCAAAACACTGTGGCCATTTGTAAAACATTACAGTGTGGAAAACCTAACCCAGCTAATTTATTTTAGAATCGCAGAATTTCGTTTATCAAAACTGATTGGATGAAAGCAAATCACTAGAGATTGATTCTCCAATTACGTAAGAAATAACTAGAAATAACTAGATTTAGTACACATTTTGTTCGTGTTTTCTTTAAGCAACATTTGGCTCACTTGCTATTTTCCCGCGCAAATGACAGTCGATGTTGTGTGTGTCGATTTCAAAGTACTTTGTACAAAATTTTATTATATATTAGAGAGTAACAAGTGTAACAAATATCGAATTATAAGTTATTGTTGCAAAAATGGATATAGAGATTGATCAGAATTTGGAACAGATAACACGCGAATATGTCGACTTTTTGGATGACATGGTAAGCAATTTAATATAAATTTCTTGTCAACAATGTTTAGTTAAACAAGGTTTTAATATTGATTATATATTTCAATTGTATTGATTGTATATTCAATTATATTTAATTTACATTTTAATATTACATTACAAGAATTACATCATGTTTATCTGTTTTTGCTCAATATTTTTATGCTTATTACATAGGAGGATCAAGGCATATATGCCACAATGGTTAAGAATATGATTCAAGAAAATAAATATAGATTAGTTGTAAATATCAATGATTTGAGAAGGAAAAGTCCGACGCGTGCAGTAAGGTATAGCAAATTTATTTCTTATTTTTTAGCAAAATATATAACATGAATAGATTATAAAATTTTGAAGAGTAATTATGAATTAATTATATTACAGCTTATTAAATAATTCCTTTGAGGAACAAATGGCATTTCAAAATGCTTTAAAACAATATATCTCAAATGTAGATATTGATTATGCCAAGAACAGTAAAGATTTCTTTGTAGCTTTTGAGGGAAGCTTTGGAAATAAACATGTGACACCAAGAACACTTACCTCTCGCTATATGGGTAATTTAGTTTGTGTGGAGGGTATTGTTACAAAATGTAAGTATTCAATAGAAGAATATTTTGAGGATATAAATTTGTTATTATATATAACATTCATTTTGTTCGAATTTATAGAAAAATTTATCGTATTTTTATTTAAAAACTTGTATTTATGTATTTAAAGAAACATATATTACTTATAAAAAATGTTGTAGGTTCATTGGTACGACCAAAAGTTGTGAGAAGCGTACATTATTGCGATATGACCAAAACAGTTTTGGAAAGAGCCTACTCAGATCTGACTTCTTTGGAAGCTTTTCCTCATTCCGCTATTTATCCAACTACTGTAATTATTTTTACGACTTAATTGAAATATAACAGAGCATTTTTTTTAGCATAAAGATTTACGTTTTTTTTGGATTACAGGATGAAGATGGCAACCCACTAGAAACGGAATTCGGTTTGTCGACCTACAAAGATCATCAGACACTTACTATACAGGAGATGCCAGAGAAAGCTCCAGCCGGACAGCTACCGCGAAGCGTAGATGTGATTTGCGATAATGATTTGGTCGATATGTGCAAACCTGGAGATCGTGTGCAGATCGTCGGAAATTATCGGTGTCTTCCAGGAAAGTACGGTGGATACACGACCGGAACTTTCAAGTATGTTCTAGATAAAACTCCAGTTGTCCAATTTAATTGAATCGCAAGTTTTTTTTTTTTATATTTTTGCTTCAAAAAATTCACTGTAAGAATTATCTTCGTGCAGGACCGTCTTAATTGCCAACAATGTAATGCAATTGAGCAAGGAAGCCAACCTCATGATCTCTCACGACGATGTGGCAATGTGCAAGAAATTGGCAAAGCACAATCCCTACAAAAACATCTTCGAGCTCCTCGCCAAGTCACTTGCACCATCCATACACGGCAATGAGTATATAAAAAAGGCGATCCTCTACCTCCTCTTAGGTGGAGTGGAAAAGATCTTGCCAAACGGCACAAGGCTGAGAGGGTAAGATTTTGCAAAATTCTCTTCATATTTATCCCAAGAAAATAAATTACACGATTAATTAGGAAATAGATAACTAATTCTTAATAAATTTTAATAAAAGTTTAATTCAAAGCTTAATATAAGAAATAAAAAATAGCATTTCAAAGTTTATAAAACATTTCATAATTAATAAAGAATGTTGAAATTTATATGCACGCAATGATAATCGAAACGTATGATAACGTATTATAGAGACGTAAATGTGTTGCTGATTGGAGACCCGTCGGTTGCAAAATCACAGTTACTACGTTATGTGTTATGCACCGCACCGCGGGCAATTCCGACCACCGGGAGAGGATCCTCTGGTGTTGGTTTGACGGCAGCGGTTACAGTCGATCAGGAAACCGGTGAACGCAGACTGGAAGCGGGCGCGATGGTCCTGGCGGACCGCGGTGTTATTTGTATCGACGAGTTCGATAAAATGTCAGATATTGACAGAACGGCGATACACGAGGTGATGGAACAGGGCAGAATCACGATTGCCAAAGCGGGCATTCATGCCAGTCTGAACGCGCGTTGCTCTGTACTCGCGGCTGCAAATCCTGTATATGGAAGAGTGAGTTTAAATCTTGAAGAAGAAATTCTATCTGAAGTTGATTCTCTTCAAAGAAATGTTAATCTTTAAAAGATTCTCTGTAATTCATAGAAATTAGATTTCTTTTGTGAAAAATTTTATAAATTTTTAGATCAAGAACATAAATACACAATAACATCAACAAAATATTAAATAAAATGTCTAACAATGTGGAAGATGTAAGTTTAGAAAACTTGAAAGTATTGAAATTCTTTCTCCATTTTTAGTACGATCAGTACAAGACGCCCATGGAGAATATCGGCCTGCAAGATTCTTTACTGTCGCGTTTCGACTTGCTCTTCGTTATGCTGGACATAATCGATTCAGAGCAGGATCACATAATCAGCGATCATGTAGTTAGAATGCATCGGTATAGAAGTCCTTTGGAGCAGGACGGAGAAGCCTTGAGTTTAGGCTCAAAACTGGATATGTTAACCACGAAGAATCCGGATGATGTGGCCACTGAAGAGATGCAATCCCAAGTCTACCAGAAATACGATCCGCTTCTACACGGACAAACGCGTTCCAAAAAGTAAATTACAATCAATGTTTATTATGTCATGATGTGTTACTTTAGATCCAATACAAGCTTTGATTCGAAATTTTCAACATTATTAAATTAACGTAAAGCATTGTATATAAAACACACTTTGTTTTTCTAATTTCTAGCGACCCAATTCTCACTATACAATTCATGAGAAAGTACATTCACATTGCTCGGTGCATGAAACCCAAGCTCACGGAAGAGGCCAGCGCCGTTATAGCCGAGGAATACTCGAAACTTCGTTCAGAGGATGTAGTAGAATCCGATGTTGCGAGAGTGAGTATTTTTCTATAGAATAAAAGTTTCGAAAGCTGAATATGCGCGGCTTCGTGTAGCAAAACAATGGGGGGGGAAAAAAACATTGAAACTTTTATGATTTCCAGACTCAACCAGTGACCGCAAGAACATTGGAAACATTGATTCGATTGGCGACGGCGCACGCGAAAGCACGGCTTTCGAAGAATGTGGAAAGCGAAGATGCGCGTGCCGCGATAGAGCTGGTGCAGTTCGCTTACTTCAAACGCGTGCTCGAGAAAGAAAAGAGGAAGCGACGACGTCATGATAGCGATACGTCGGAAAATGCAGAGGAGGAGGAGGAGAGCAGACAGGCGAAGCGCACCAGAAGAACAGCGAAAGACGGCGAGGTCGACCCGTACGAGTACGATAGCGATGACGCGCACATCGAAGAGGTGACCAGTAGAATAATCAGGACGCGGTCGCAAAAGAGCACCACGGACACGCCGTCGAGTCAGGCCGAGAGTGCCGAGTCTGTTCCAGCAACAGCAACGCTGACAATCGCGCCGGAAAGGTGAGTCTAGCCGAAAAAAATGACCTGCAATTTACAATAAAATCGTTAATTAAGGCGTTTTATGACTTAAATATGCTTATTTTTATATTTTTGTCCTGTTAAAAAAGAAAAGTGACGAAAGTTGCGGAGAAAACTTGTGCTAAATGTTTCATTTTGATTTCAGACTCGCGGTTTTCAGATCATCGCTGAACAAACTATTCCAAGACCGACGAACTCAGATAATCTCGTTGACAGACATCACCGATCATCTGAACACGACACGTTCTCTAAATTTTACATCCGATGAGATTAGCGCCGCTATCAGTACCATGACGGACGCGAATCAAATTATGGCCGCGGATGGCAACATCTTCCTCATATAAAGTCTTTTTGTAATATTTCGTTTTAAAGCCACGGACTTGGAAAGATGCCATTTTTAAAGCGTTAATTTATTATCCAAGTCGAAATTAAGGTTCTCGATCATTCACTGCTGCCGTACTGAGATTATTATTTGCCCCTCGATCGTTCGTAATCCAATATACAACTGCGACAAACGATCAGGAACCTGAACATAGCAACGGGCCGTCTACAAGAGTGATGTGCATACCAATTAGTATTCACAATTTATGTGCAAGGGTCTGAAAAAAATATTTTTATACGTACCATTTTGCATTGATATACGAGTAATGAAGTAATGATAATAATAAACTATACGAGTTTACGAATAATGATATCTAACAACATTTATTTGCCCTATACTCGATAAGACAGCACATTGGCACATAAACTAGCAACAATCATCACCATTCATTACAGTGATGTAAACGTAATACGGCTCACAACGCTAAATCCGCTTTCCACCCCTCTCAGTAAATATATGTATATGTATAACATATCGACCCATTGTGCGTGTGCGTATGCGTACTATTGCACTAACATCAATCACGTTTTCCGCTACAGGCTCGTCTTACGAATTTATTTTCGCACATCGCCTTTATTACAAAAATTTACGGCAGTCGTATAAATGCTCCGCTTACCACTCATATCTTCAACATATACAATAATCGACACAATTCTCGTTTTAAAATAAGTTTACATCCTTGGCCAACTAACTCGCTCTCTCGCTCTCTCTCTCTCTCTCTTTCTTCGACTGTACAACCGTCTTGCTTATTAAAGACATCCGTAACGGTGTTACTGCTAGTTGTAACAGAGGTAATGTAACATCACCGATCGTGCGCTAAAATTTTTTACAACTCTCAAGATCAATCACTGTAGATCTACAGTACAGGCCTTCGGGACGTATTTCTTGTTGTAAGAAGGAAAGAATCGACGATCTGCGACGTCCTAACGGTTTTTTTTTGTTTTTTTTTTTACACAGAATCAGGACCTTCTTCACGGCAAAAATATCTACGATCGCGTCCTGCGCTCTAATTGTACTCACAGTTACTCTTAACAACACCACCGATTTACCTATCACTCGCGCGATGATTATTTGTTGGAATTTCGTGTTGTACAAAATTTACTACAATTACAGCTACCTCGAAATATTGCTTTAACAAATGGTTGAATCACGATGATGAATAAATGACGGTACGCGAGCGATGCACAGAAAATTCTCTACCAATAACACATCGAAATTTTCGAACAAATTGATGTTGGATTCAAGCATTTTTCATGTGGGCGAACTATTCGACGGCAGTGACGTTTCGATATGATACGAAATGTCGCGAGTGTGTGTACTTCGATGATTTCGATGATTATAATTCTCTCTTCTTATAGGAAATCGATTCGTCTAACACGGTGAGCTTCGCGAACAACGTGTAACGAAAGATTTGAACACGTTATAGCCCCGCTCTGTGCACACTGCTTTCGGCGTAGCAAAATATTAATGTAGTTCTCAGCGATAAAAATTGGCGAATTGTGAAACGGCGAAGCTCAACGCGTTAAAGTTCCTCGAGCTCGGGCGAGCAATTAAAATTATTAGGCACATACCGCGTTTCTTCCTCAGATCTTTTTCTCTACTCAATGTAAAGTCCTTAGGCTGAGAATTCATTTCTTACGACTGCTAAAAGTAGGAATCCCCGCTTCACTCAATTTGTTACAATCGTTTAAAATTCCATAACTTGACGATTTCGAAAGTTCAGACTTCGTCTTCGCTGGATTCGCTGCTGTAGGCTAATTGTTCCTTCCACCATTCTCGAACCTCCAACATGACACTAGAAACTTTAGGCGCAGTTGTTTTATTGTTCAACGCCTCCCTCTGCTGTCTGCTTTGCTCCGTACTTTCTGTCAGATGGGGCAAATTATTTTTCACCATCGCTGAAAGGAATCGAACAATTAGAATTCAGGGTGCGCGCTCGTCAATACGATTCATAATACGAAATCCGTGCGATCGCCTTTACTTACATGGCGGTCTACTATTTCTCTTCTTCGACACCGCGATCTTATCCTTCTCGGATCGAACGGACGCGGGGTCCGACAACGTCGGAGCCAGATATTTTCTTCCCGAGGCACTTCCTATGCTGTCCGATCTTGGAAGCACCAACGGCTTCTTGGTCCTGTGTTTTGGAGCTTCGGCATCCTGATTGTTTGGACAAGATTAGCAAAATAATTTGAATTTTACCATCAAACTATTAAATCATGTCTATTACAGTTTTAGACTACATTGATCCTTAAATTACAATGTGGCAGCATTTCAGGTATTTTATACCATTTTAAAAATGTGATATACCGTTGATCCATTAGTTGTGATACAAAATATCAGGAAATTTCTTCTTAACTTTTCTATAACACGTTCTATAAAATGGTTTTGTGTTGCAGCGAAGCAAAATAAAATGCCAGACAAACTGTACCTTTGTTTCAGTCTCTTCTTCGCGATCGACGCTAATTTCCTTGCCTTTTTCCTCCTTACCCTTATCCTGATCTTGAGCCGTCGCAGCTGCGTTATTTGTAGCGCGAAGCCCGGCGATGAGACTGTTCTGCTGCTTCTGAAAAAGAAAGAAGAGAAACTTATTACTTCTTCGATCTGACTGCGGATTCTCAACTCATCCTCACCGCTCGTATTTTTTTCAGGCAGCCCTGCAGCCAAGTTCTAATAGTTTGCTTGGCTACTTCCTCTTCGATTATGTACTCAAACTCCTCTCGCGCGAGCAGTTCCTCTAATTGAAGCGCTTTCCTTATGTCCACTGAACGGTACGATAACATGCTAAAACAATTTTCAATGTAGGAACGTTTCGGCGCGATTAAACTCAAATATTATAAAACATTTCGTGTTTGTATAATTGAAAAGTTTGTCGACTAAAAGATACGAAGTGAAAATTGTGCGAAATCAAGGATTTGCGGGAGAATTGAAGGATCTTACTTTAAAAAAAAAATTGATTGGAGCAAATAATTGAATCAATTGCGCGGGGAAACTCACTTAATAACGTCGTGGAAGGTAACGTCTTCGCCATTGTGCAATCGTTCCAGCTCGTAACACATGTATTTGAAGAGTAAACGATCCTTTTGCGGATCGGTCTCCAATCTACCCTTCAACAACCGCAAGATAAACTTGACCTAAAACGCGCTAATGTCGTTACTTGCTTCTTGCGGAATATTATACCATTTTGCCGATTACGGGGATTTGTTAATTCGAGGTAAGACCATACCCGCTTCACTGGTATAACACCTTTCTGATGGTTATCGACGACGTTCCACGTGTTCTGGAAGTTCCTTATGTCGGCATACGACAATAACGCGTCCTCTTCATTCGAATAAAATAGAGAGAAGTTCTCCATGATGATGGCTGTTCGGAAAAAAGATTTTCATTCCTCGTTTGACTCTCACTAATTAAATTACTATGGAAACCTAATTAAAAACATTATTGGACAAGAAATTAGATTAGAGGCACTACAGAAGAATACTTGCCGTTAATTGAAATATCGATCAAATGTAAGGCAAGAGAAAAAACGGATTGCGTGTTCTTTTTTTTTTCAATCCCGCGAACAACGTCTATGTGATTATTTCGTGTAAGGCTTTCTTTCGTGCGCAAAGTGTGTCACATACCCACTAAGAGATTCAAGACGATGTAAGTGATGATGACGTAGAAGGTACAAAAATAAATTAGAGAAGCGTGGAAATTGCCGCAGTCCGTTTCCCAGTAATTATCCGCCGGCGTGCAATAGGGTGGTTGTACCATGCAATCGTGCATAATTTTGTTCCAGTCCTCTCCCGTCACTATGCGAAAGAGCATCGCCACCCCGGTAACTGGTGACTCGAAATTAGCACGCCTAGATTGCAAAGAGATTACTGCTGACAAGCTACTGGCGAAAAATAGCGCAAGACGCAAGAATAAAAAATAGCGGAATAAAAAAAAAAGATTTAAGTACCA